GTGGGTTGAGTGCCAGCCTATGAACCAAAGGGTTGCTGGTTTGATACCCAGTCAGGACACATGCCTGGGTTGCCAAGCCAGGTCCCCAGTAGGGGGTGTATAAGAAGCATCCACACATTAATATTTCTCTCCCTCACTTTCTCCCTCCCTTCTCCCCTTTCTAAAAATAAATAAATTAATTAAAAAAATGTTTAAAAAGAAGAAGTCTTTCTGTGAAATCCTTACCAGCCCATACCCATTTTTATTCATTTATCCACTAATTTACTCAACCGCCATGCAGTTATTAAAACTATCACAGTCCTATGCTGGACACTAGGGACACAATGTGATGTGTAAGACCCAGTTCCTGCCCTCTGAGAATTTCTAGTCTAAACGAGGAGACAGGGACTAAAACGGATGCTAACGCAGTACATTAGGGGCAGTGCCAGAGTGGGTACAGAGCGTCTGGGAGCATATGGAAGGGCAGTCAGCCCAGCCTCGGGGTCAGTGATCTCCGGATGAGTAGGTGTCTCCAGCTTGATTGATAAGGGGAGCTGGGGCAAGCGTTAAGTAAAGCTCTTGGCTGTAAGTGATAGAGACCCAAGTTAAACTGACTTAAGGAAAAATGGAACTTACTGATTCATAGCTAAAAAGCCCTGACAATATTACCTTCAGGCAAGGTTAGATCCAGGTGCTTATCAGAAATTAGTCTCTTCTCATCTTTCATCTCTGTTTTCCTCTGTGTGCATTAAATTCTCAGGCAACTTGTCCCTATGTGTTGGCAAAGATAGCTCCTGACAGCTCCAGATATATGATCTGGTGGCCTGGCCCTGGGTCACACGTTCTCCTGGACCAAGGAGAGGGATCAGTCTCTCAAAGGCCCAGGGTGGAATAATGGAGCTCAAAGACAGAGTTAAATAGAGGCTGACGAATAGGCCAGGTATCAGGTAAGCTCCCAGACGGGTGACTAAATCAAAGATCTCACGGGTGTCCTCCAGAGGGAAATGCCCTGAGGGGAGAGGCAGTTGGCTTTGAGGGCTCAGAAGAAGCCATCCTGTGCTCTTCTGCACTAAACTCTGTGGTAAGGTCCTGGGTTTGTCTACCTCGTCCAACAAAAACAGGAGCGCTCTCCACCTAGTGGCCATTGGGGTCACTGCACCGTAGCCCAGACCCTTACGGACTGGATGCTGGCGGAGTGAAGGTCTCGAACGTTGTGGCCAGGGAACCGGGGAGTGCCAGAACAGGAGCCTGGCACAGGCGGAGTCAGCGAGGTCGTTAGGTGGACAGATGGTCAGAGGGAGAAGTTGCATTTGACGCTGGTGACCACCGGGAGGAAAGTCTGGGTAGGGGCGAGAACGGCGGCGCCGCTGTGAAGGCAGGGCTTCTTCCCTTCTTCACCTGCTCTGGGAAGAAGCCCCGCCTACCCATTGCCACTGCCTGCTCAGGACTCCAGCTGGGCGCTGTGATTTCTCCCAACTGGTCCTCCACAGAAACTGTCCCGGCCTCAGGCCCCATGAAGCTGGTAGCAGGGCTCAAACCCATGACTGGGGATGCTGAGTGCCAGGCCAGTGTCCCGAACACACTCCGTGGCTGCCATCTGGGTACCTGCACAGTTCTGTCTGCACCACTCGCGAGGACATCCCAATACGGCTTTACGTCCCGCCCTGGACGAGAGCGCCACACACATAGGTTCATCACATCTTCTCCTGGGGTGTCACTGGCTGCAGAGCTGGGGTGCCTGGCATGAGCTGAGGTACCCTAGCAGTGGAGTGATTTTATTTTTATTTTAAAAGATTTTATTTGCCTATGCATTTTTAGAGAGGGAAAAAGAAATATCGATGTTAGAGGAACATCGATTGGTTGCCTCCTGTGAATGCTCAGACTGGGGACTGAACACACAAGCCAGGCTTGTGCCCTGACCAGGAATAGAACCGGTGACCTTTCACTTTGCAGGATGACACCCGACCAACCAACCGAGCTACACTGCTCAGGGCAGCTTTATTTTCATTAAACAAGCAAAAGTTTATTTAAAAAGTCGCAGAGGTAAAAGAAATGAGCCATGGGAAAAGTGAGCCAGCTGGGCTGTGTAGGCTCAGGAAAGAAGTTACAGAAGCAGAAGAGGGGCCCTTGGAGCGCAGGACAGAAAACAAAGGTCCGGGCCTTGAGGGGAGAGAGGAGGCGGAAAGGCCCCTACGGGCATGAGAGAGACAGACAGACAGACACCAGAATGTGGGTTCTTGTCGGAGCCCAGGGGAGAGCCACCGCTGCCCCATGCCGACCCTTTTCAGGTTGAATTGTTTCCAGCATTTTATAAATCATGGTCTTTTTAAAAAACTGAATTTATTGGGGTGACCCTGGTTAACATTATATAGGTTATAAGTTTTAGGGCTACAAATTCTATGATACATCATCTCTATATTGTAGTGTGTGTTCAGCACCCCAAGTCACGTCTCCTTCCATCCCCATTTACCTCCCTTTACTCTCTGCCACCTCTCCCGCCCACTTTCCCTCTGGTGACCTCCACGCTGCTGTCTGTGAGCGTGTTTTTGTTTGGTTCTTAACCCCTTCGTAACCATTGAGTCTCAATACAGATGGGCTGTGCCAGGCTCCTGCCATGTGTCAGCTCTCTGATGGCTTTATGGGCAGCCGTTCTTTTGTTTCAGAGATTTAATTTATTTTTTAAAGATTTTATTTATTTATTTTTAGAGAGAGGGGAAGGGAAGGGAGAAAGAAAAAACATCCATATGAGAGAGAATTGTTGATGGGTTGCCTCTTGCACATGCTCTGAATGAGGACACCCAGGCACGTGCCCTGACTGGGAATCGAACCAGCGACCTTTTGCTTTGTGGGACATCCAACCGACTGACCACCCCCCGGTCAGGGCTGTAGCTGCTCTTTTCATTTCTACAACAAGCCTGTAAGGTAGGTGCTGTTCCACCCTGTGGTGCAGGGCGGCTAAACGAGACGACGAGGCCCCATGGTGGCGGAGCTGGGGCACGGGCCTTGCCTGCCTGGCTCCAGAGCCCCAGTTCTTCGCTCCAGCACCACACTGTGTCTCCACAGCTGACTCCTCTCCGCCTGCGCCAACCTTCTTGGCCGCAGGGCCATGGACTGGTGCCCCCTCTGAGGCTCACCTGCTGAGTCGTACTGTGGGTCCTAGGCACTGACATCAGAGGCCACTGCAGGCTAGAGAAATTCGAAGCTGATCTCAGAGCTGAACAGAGTAAGAGGGGCCCTGACGTGCAGTCAGGACCCTCGGATTCAAATTGCTGGGTGTCACCAGATTGGCCAACATCAGAAAGGCCGACGCTAGCGGGTGCTGACAAGGCCGTGGGGCAGGCGGAATGCACCCGCACTGCAGATGGGCACGTGGGTAGAACCGCTCGGGAAAGCCACTGGGCAGCGTCCGCGCAGGCTAGGTGTGCCCGCTCTACCACGCAGTGACCCCACCCTGGGCATAGGCGCTCCGCACACTCACCTACAAAGGCAAGATTGTGCGCAACGGCTGTATTCTCAGCAGTTCCAAACCGGAACAGCCCACTGTCCGTCTGCAGTGATGGGGCTGAACTGTGGTACATTCATATGAAAAGATGAACTTCTGCCCTGGCTGGTGTAGCTCAGTGGATTGAGCACGGGCCTGCGAACCAAAAGATCGCGGTTCGATTCCCAGTCAGGGCACATGCCTGGGTTGCAGGCCAGTTCCCAGCAAGGGACCAGTTCCCACCAGGGGTCGCATGAGAAGCAACCATACATTGATATTTCTCTCTGTCTCTCCTTCCCTTCCCTTCTAAAGATAAGTACATAAAGTCTAAAATAAATTAAAAAAGAATAGATGAACTTCTGACACACACAATAACACAGATGAACTCAGATATAATATTGAAAAAAGAATGTATGACTCCATTTTTATAAAATTCAAGAGCAAGCAAAACTAATTTAGGGTGATGGAGGTCAAAACATGGTGCGTGAGCTCCCTGAGGACAAGAAGTGCTCACCCCCGCGCCGACATGGCTGGGTGCACGCACTGCTGGCGGGGACTCCGGAGTCCAGACAGAGCGGTCCTGCAGGCCAAGGCCACCCACCCCTCTGCCCTCATGTCCTTGCCCAGGGGATGGGCCCGATTCTGACACCCTGGCTGGGGCAGGGCTGGGGAAACTGCTGGGGCTGCGGAGGGTCCTTCCCAGCTGGCGGAGAGCAGGTGCTCGAGAATGGTGTGCGGAGTGCAGCGTGGAGCCACGGCAGTGTGGACACGGGGCTCCCGAAGCCAGCGTCCCCCTGCCTCGGCTTATTTCTGGGTCACGGAAAAGGTTGTCCTAAGATCTCCAGGCCTCGTTCAAGTCCCACAGCTGTGGAAGAGCTGGCAGGACAGGGCCACCTCTGCTCACCTACCTGCATTCTTTAAATCATCAAGCACGCAGGGCACGCCCCTCCACGCACTGGGCAGCGGAGGCGAACAGGCTCAGTCTCTGCCCTGAAGACTTAGCCTGAGACAGCCACGCTGGGCGCGGGCTCCGTTTTGCCTTCCCTGTCTCTCCTCCTGTCCCCTGTACCCCTTCTGCACTGAGCAGCCAGAACAATCCTCTCAAGCAAAGCAGATCACGGTACTGGTCTAAAACCCCTGAAGACCCCGGAAGGCCCCCACCACGGGGGAAGGCGGCACCGAGTCTAGGGTGTCTGAGAAGATGTCCACAGGGCTGCCAGACCACCTGGATGTCTCTTTCTGTCCCGACCCCCACCCCCCCGAAGTGTTTAGAGCCCTGGGGGTCTGAAGGGAATGAGAGCGAGGGGTTGGGACACATGTCAGACCCAAGGCGGTGTGGCCCAAATCCCAGTTCCGTGAAGTTGTAGTCGTCTGGCTCATGGGAGAAATTCCTTTTATTTTGTCTTGATTTTAGAGAGGAAGGGAGAGAGAGATCAGTTTGTTGTTCCACTTAGTCATGTGTCATTGGTGGGTTCTGGTATGTACCTGACCGGGGACTGAAGTCCCAACCCAGGTGCACAGGGACCAGGCTCTAACCGAATGAGTGGCCCGCCAGGCCGAGGAATTCTTTATTTAGATGCTCCAGTGACTATGCGACAGAGCAGACGCACACACCCACACCCACACACGACACTGAAGGCGTTTCACAGGCGAGGGGCAGGAAGTGGGGGGAGGAGGCCATGACAGTAGCGAGGGGCTTCTTTGACCCAAAAAAAGGGGGCCTCAGATGGTGCTACTCCCTAGGACTCCTGCTGGAGAGATACAGGAAAAAATCTACTCCCAGTGAATCCCAGGCCATAAAACAGGCAGCACTGGAGAAACCTGGGTTTGGGGCCTGGGGAACATCCGACACCCGCCCCAGCCCTCCTTTCTTTCCCGGGGGGGGGCCCCATCCCACGCCCTGGTACCCAGGAGCCTCGTGGTAGGGGAGGCTAGCACCACCCAGGCAGGAGGCCTGCTGCACACGGGGAAGGAGAGGGCTGGGGAGGCCGAAGGGCTGGTGGCCCAGGGCAGCCTGCCTTCCAGGGCACAGAGCCATCACGCAAATGCGCAGGTGGGGGCTTTCCCAGGTGACCTGGGTCAGGGGCCTCGGACAGAGGAGGGAAAGGGCCCTGGAGCTCTCCATTGCCCCCCGGGTGCCACGGGCTCCCCAGCTCCAGCTGGTCCCCAGCTGCTGCAGGTCCTTAGCACCACTCAGGAACTGTGAGGAGGGGCAGGAGGGACAGCAGTGCCCTGCCAGGGCTGTGGCACTGCTCCAGGAGCTTCGCTGAGGGCAGCAACCTGTACAACGGCCAGCATCTAGTCCCAGGCTTTGCAAGCCTGCACTTTTGGGGGCGGGGGAGTGTCTCATTAGCGCCAGGCTCCCATGTGGCAGCCACGCTCATCTGCCCCTTCCTGCCTAGGTCAAGGTCTGGGTGGAAGGGCCAGGTTTCACCAGACGTGCCAAAGCCTGGAGAGCCCAGTGGTTTAGCTGCGAGAACTGGTCCAAAAGTGACCTGCCAAGGAAACACAGGACACGTGGCCCAGAAGGCCGGTGGAGGGGAGAGACCGTCCTCTACCTCCCTCTCTTGTGAGCGCTCACATCCTCCCGGGCCACCACGAGGCTGCCTGTGGCCCACTCCTGCCACAGGCCTGGGTAGGAAAGGAGGAACAGGAAGCCAAGGGCTGACTACAGTCACGGTTACGGTCTCGGGGAGGCTGGCTCCTGGCTGCTTCACCCTGGGGTGCTGGATGGAAACACTAGTCTTCCAAGGTAGTTGTGTGTTTCTGTGTGGGCTGTCTTTGCACTGGAATCTGGCCCAGGGGCGACACTGCTGTTTTTGGTGACCTGCAGTTTGAGAAGGAACAAAGGTGTGGGTCAGTCTGTGGTGGCTGTGAAGGTGCTCAGGTAGCTCACTCTGACGGTGTCACAGCATCCTCAGCATCCTAGTTTGTCCTCATAGCAATCCTGCCGGGGGGTGGGGAGCAGCACCCCCATTTTGCAAAGGAGGAAACTCCAGTTCAGGAAGTGTAAGTGACCTGCTCACAGCAAGCTTTCAAGTGTGGCAGACTCAGGACTGCAGCCATGTCTTCCCGCCACCCCAGCACCATCTACTCTGCCCCCAGGCCCACGGGGCCCTACTGGCACAGGTCTCCCCTCATCCGGGAATTACTGTGGACTCCTGTCACTCTCCATCCCACTCTCCTGGCCCCTAGCACCACCTGCTGTTGTCTCATTTGTTTATGGACTGGTTTGGGATTTGCTTCCACCACCAGGGGGCGGACTGGAGGGTCAGGGACGGAGTTTGTCTGGACTCTGGGGGAGGCTCCGACACCCATATCAAAGCCTGGCACCTCCGGTGATGTGCTGAGTGGATAAAAGCTCATCTCCAACAGTTCCCATTACTGGCACTAGCACTTGAAATAGATGACCTCTGATCCTCACAGCACTGGGACTGAGGGCAATGAGCCCCTTTTGGGGGTGGCACAGTGAAATGAGGGGGGCTGTGGGGCCAGAGCGGCATGAGTCCTGGGTCCAGCTGCCGGTTACTGTGAGACCCCAGGCAAGTCCCCTGGCCCATCCGACATTAGGTGTCCTTGGGGTATAAGAGGGATCCTAACTCAGAGCCACTGTTGTGAATTCAACATGATCAAAGTTGGTGTTCAGCAACTTTTACAGGAAGAGCCGGAGGCTCAGGGGGCTTCCTGATGTGCCTGGGGTGGCTCAGTGGAAGAGTAAGACAGTGCACAACACGAGCATTTTCGAGTGTGGGTGGTCCCAGACTGTGCCGCCCGTCAAGGCGCCACACGCTGCAGGGGTGCCGAGGGGCAGCTCCAGGCCGGGGTGCTGGGGCTGGGATCAAGTCCACGTCTAAGACATCGCAGGAGCCTTCCCAGTTAAAGACATGCCTACAAATGCAGAGGAAGGCCTGCTGGGGAGAGGAGAGACTCCGGGTGGACTAAGAGAGAGGGCAGGACTACTTCTGGTGGCGCACTGTTTCCACCGCCTCTAATTTGCTAGGCTCTGTAGCAACGCAGAGTCAAATGCCAGTCAAAGCCCTCACTGCATGGACTCGCCCACCCGAAACCCCTCATCTGTAAAACGGAGATGATTCCGACCTCAGAAGGCTATGCTGCGGCACACTGTCCGCACCACACGGTCCCTTCCCAAGAGGAAGGGACACAGCCCCCTGGCCACTCCTGGCTGCTCCATCCCACGTGGAACCACAAGCTCCTTGTCAGCACGGGGTCCCAGAGGAGCGTGTACTGAACCAGAGACACCTCAGCTGGAACTACGGTTCTGCCTCACTGGGTCGCTCCTAATGGTGCCTGCTTTTGTCTGTAAATCAGAATAATGACCTCTTCTCCCCAGGGCGATTGAACTACCGGAAAGTGAATGTGCTCGGTACATGGCTGCAACAGAACATGCACCCAAAGAACGTTACTCATTCTCACGAGTCATGGATAGATGACTCTTAATCTTTTCCCTTCCAAGGACTCATCACAATTCGTACTTGCTGGAGTTTACTCATGTTCTGTCTCCTCCCAGCAGAATGTGAGGTCTTGAGAGCAAGGGCTGGAGCGGATCCTGCCACCACTCAGGTGTTAAGTATTTGACCAAGGAAGGAAAGAATGTGGTCATGTTTGGTAATGACCTGTAGAGGGAGCCCTCGCCATAGAGTTGAGGGAGAAAAGGCTTCCTTCGCAGCCTGCTAGTTATGCTACAGGCCAGGTCTGGAGACCTCGGAGGAACTGTGTTTCCACACCAACACTTCCAGCCTGGGAGGTCCACAGGCTGGGGAGGGGTTGATGGGAGTGAAACTTTCTGTTAATGGACTGATTTCTGCTGACTGAGTAATGGCTGTCAGGATTCCCTTTTAGCCAAGTAGTCCCCGGCTTTGTTCTGATCCAGAAGCTCAGAGCTCCTGCAGCAGGCCCTTGAACTTCAAAGCATGATTACTCACTGGTTCTTGTGTTTGAAGCCGCTGACGTGAGCTTGGTACTGTTCTATGGAGTTCAGCACGATCTTACACGTCTTGCATGGGTAGCCCTTCCCAGCTGAAACACACATAAAAGCCAAGATGCTTAGTTCCCCAGTAAGAAGGAGCCTGGGCACTGCATTCGGAGACTGCTTGCACATGTTCTTCTGCTGACCGAGCAGGCACAAGAACCCCAGAGCCCCCGTGTGTGCTCTGGGGCACAGGCTGTGTCTATGTGCTTGCTGAGGGCAGGAACCTCTTCCCTCCCCTCCCTGCCCCCAGGCCCAGTGTGGGACCTGTGTCCCGAGTAGCTGTCTGTTGAGTGGATGAAAGATGGACAGAACAAAGAGGCGGCATCTGGTGCACCTGTCTTCCCCACCCGGACAGTGCTAAGTGGCCTCACTCAGGACGCCCTGCCCCGGGATCTCTGGGCAGGTGCCACTCTCCTCTGGCCTGCGGGGTAACAGTAACTGATGAGAAGGTCTGCTCGGAAAACCAATCTGCTTCTCTACTCTGAGGCTCTCGGGCACCTTTCTCCTTACCAGGGCTGCTCCAATGGCAAAGTGGCCTTTCCACACACAGCCTAGTGGAGAGAGATGGTCAGAAGCAGAGATATGGGGCTGGACTCCTGGCTCTGCCTTCACATGACCTTGGCCGAATCCCTTCCCCTTTCTTATCCTCAGCTTTTTTCAACTATTTGCCGATTATATCACAACTCCTAACCTTAACACACAATAAAAAGCAGTGCTATCATTTACCAAGCGTACCATATACAAGGTCTGGCCAGAAGGTATCCAGCCATGTGATGTGAAAAAGAGAGACATTTATTGAAGAAGGTACAAGACACAAGAAACACTGTACACAGGACAATGATGTCTCAGTCCCCTTCAAAGTAGGCTCCTTGGGATCTTACACAGTTCTTTCAATCACCATCAGCTGCCCCATCATATTTTCCTGAATCTCACCCACGGTCTGAAATCTCTTCCCTTTTTTTTTTAACATATTTTTTTATTGATTATGCCATTACATTTGTTCTATTCCCCCGTTCCCCTCCCCCTGCACACCCCTCCCCCACCATTCCCCCCTTTAGTTCATGAACACGTCTCAAGTTCTTTAGATTCTGTATTTCCCCTACTATTCTACCCCCATCTATTTTCTATCTACTGTCTATGCTACTTATTTTCTGTACCTTCTCCCCCCTTCTCCTCCTCCCACTCCCCTGTTGCTAATTCTCCATGTGATCTTCATTTCTATGGTTCACTCCTGATCTAGCTGTCCTCTTAATTTGCTTTTGTTTTAGGTGTGGTTGTTGATAACTGTCAGTTTGCTGTCCTTTCACTGTTCATCTTTTTTATCTTCTTTTTCTTAGGTAAGTCCCTTTAACATTTCATATAATAAGGGCTTGGTGATGATGAACTTGAATTTGATCTTATCTGAGAAGCACTTTACCTGTCCTTCCATTCTAAATGAAAACTTTGCTGGATACAGCAATCTTGGTTGTAGGTCTTTGGATTTCATGACTTGGAATACCTCTTTCCAGCCCCTTCTTGCCTGTAAGGTCTCTTTTGAGAAATCCACTGACAGTCTGATGGGAACTCCTTTGTAGGTGACAGTCCCCTTATCTCTTGCTGCTTCTAGGATTCTCTCCTTCATTTTAATCTTGGCTAATGTAATGATGATGTGCCTTGGTGTGTTCCTTCTTGGGTCCAACTTGTTTGGGACTCTCTGAGCTTCCTGGATTTCCTGGAAGTCTATTTCCTTTGCCAGAACGGGGAAGTTCTCCTTTATTATTTGTTCAAATAAGGTTTCCACTGGTGGCTGTGCCTTTCCCCCTTCTGGTACCCCTATAATTCGAATGTTGGAACATTTAAAGATGTCCTGGAGGTTCCTAAGCCTCTCCTCATTTTTTTTTTATTTTTAATTTTTAAAAATTTTTTAAAAATTTATTTAGTTATTTTTCAAGTACAGTTTTCTTTTGTCAATTTCTCCCATCCCAACCCCCCCTCCGCCCCGTCTCCCCACCTCCCTCCCATCCCCCCCCCAGACCTCATCCCTGTGTCTTTCATACTTGTTCTTCAAAATCCCTCCCCGTTTTTCCCCTTAAATCTCCTCATTTTTTTGAATTCTTGTTTCTTCACTCTTTTCTGTTTGGTCATTTTTTCCTTCCTTCTGATCTACTCCCTTGATTTGAGTCCCAGTCTCCTTTCCATTACTATTGGTTTCCTGTGCATTACCATTCATTTCAATTAGTTTAGCTTTCTTATGTTTCTCTAATTTGTGACTAAAATAAACCAGTTCTGTGAGGATCCTGATCACTAGTGTTTTGAACTGTGCATCTGAAAGTTTGGCTATTTCTTCATCACTTAGATTTATCGGCTCTGGGGCTCTGAGTTGTTCTTGAGCCATTTTTGGTCTGTTTGCGCCTGTTAAGTATGAGGAGCGGAGGCTTAGTTGTTTACCAGGGCGGGGCCACCCAGGTTGCTGGACTGTGACGCTATATGTCAGAGAGGGAGCAATGGCGGTCCTCTCCGCTTGGCCCATCTGTCCCACTGCTCACCTCCGTCTGTTTATCTGAGCGGAAATGTGCGAGCCCGCCGCCCTGAGCCATGCGGTCTCAATGCTCGCCTCTTCACTGGTTTATCTGCATGCAAATGCTCGACTGACCACAGACAGCCAGCTGCGCCTCTTCCCCGTGTCCGCCCGTAGCTAGCCCGCATCTGGGATCTGCGCCTTCGGCTGCCTGCGCACCACCCCAGTCGGGGATGTTTTTGGCCAACCTGCTCTGCTGCTGGCTTCCCCCCTCTTACCGGTTTAGCTGAGCATTTCGTTGTTTTCGGACTCCGTATTGTCGATTTTCTGTGTGGTTTGGTTGCGTTTATTGTTAAAACTTTGTTGTTTTTAGATTTGGTTGTGTGCGGACGCAAGGTGTTTCCACCTATGACTCCATCTTGGTGGAAGTCCTCAATCTCTTCCCTTTCAAGGATGATTTTAGTTTTAGAAAAAGGCAGAAGTCACAGGGCACTCAATCTGGGCTGTAGGGGGCTGAGTCACCTGGATGATCTGATGTTTCACCAAAAATCTCTGCACAAGACGTGATGCATGAGTGGGTATATTGTTGTGATGAAGCTGCTAGTCACCAGTTGCCCACAGCTGTGGCCTTCTGAGTCATTTCAATAGTTTCCACAGAGGAATGTTCTAGCTTAGTGCAAACGCTGATGCAGATTTGTTACTCTACTTGCTCAGTCATTTTGAACGCGATGGCCACACAGTATACATGCTCACTCAACAGCATCTACTGCCCCCAATGACGAGTACAGTGAAGTCGTCATCGCTCACACCTGTGCATCCCAGTCCACTCTCCTTGCTGCCAGGTTACACTGATATCCTGCACACTGTTCTCATTATATTAACAAAGCCTGGAGTTTTTCCAGACAGACCTCACGGGCAATGCACTTCACTGTGATTCCAGGAGCCCCGTGGCTCTGCTCCCTTTTAAACCGTCCGCCACCCTAGTGTCTCTCAGCCTGGCAGTGAGATCGCCTGGGCTCAACTCCCTGTTCTGCCATTTCTTAGTAGGGCCATAGGTCAGTTACTTAACCTCTCTGAGAGGAGGTCCGAGTGGGGCTTCTCAGAAACTCGGGCTCTTACCTATAAAATGAGGTCAACATTGGTGTCAACCTCATTAGGTCACTGCAGTGATTCCAGTGAAAGCATTTGGCACACAGTAAACATTCAACACATCTAAGTTTTCATCGCTGTTATTAGTCCACTCTCACAGGTTCAGGAGTCGCTGGCAAAGAGGTAGAGAGCGTCTTCTGAGCATCCTTCCACGGCAGCTACAGCCCCCGAGAGCACAGACCACCTCCCCTCCTCCATAGGCGAACCAGGGTGCCTGATGCCCCAGGTCTATTTGTCTCCTTTGTATCTTCACTTAAGGGGAAACTCCTTGCAATCAGAACTCAGGTCCTTTTTAGGCATTTTAGGCCAGAATTCACGGTTTGACTCTAACGCGGAAAAGCTGCATAATGAACTACCAGAACCACCCTGCCTCCAAGGTCAAGAGTGGAATCTGAGACTGGATTGGGCTGGGCTGACAACCACCAATGGTTAAGAGTCACTGATGCCCAGATTACAAAAGTCCACTATTATTAGCTAGTAAGCACAAGGCACCACACCAGGATTTTGGGTATTTGTGTCACTGGATTCTTTTTTTTTTAAGGATTAAATTTAGTTTTTTTAAAATTACCATTAAAAAAAAGATTTTATTTATTTGTTTTTAGAGAGGGGGGAAGGAAGAAAGAGAGGGAGAGAAATATCAATGTGTGGTTGCCTCTCTCACGCCCCCCACTGGGGACCTGGCCTGCAACCCAAGCACGTGCCCTGACTGGGAATTGAACCAGCAACCCTTTGGTTTGCAGGCTGGCGCTCAATCCACTGAGCCACACCAGCCAGGGCTGTGTTGTTGGATTCTTACAACAACCCTACAAGCCAGGTGGTCATCTCCATTTTTCAAAGCAGGAAACAAACCCCAAAAGGTGAAAGAGGCAGGTGACCTGGGCAGAGCCGGGCTCTACCCCCTGGTGGTGAAGCCCTGTTCTCCCTTTGGCACCACACACCTCTCTGATCTCTCCTGTGAACCCTGTGAGGTGCATGATCTCATTCAGCACACTACCTGCTGATCTGCAACCTGGACCCAAAACTGTCATTTGGGGAACTTCACAATTCATCGGTGCTCTAAAACGAGGTCTGTCCAGTACTCGCACTCATCAACTTTCATCTGCTTTTCATTTGACATGTTTTTTAACATAGTTTATTGATTGTGCTATTACAGTTGTCCCATTTGCCTCCCTTTATTCCCTTTCTTCCTGCATACCCCCTCCCGCCCACATTCTCCCCCTTTAGTTCATGTTCATGGGTTGTACACAGAAGTTCTTTGGCTTCTCCATTTCCTATAGTATTCTTACCCTCCCCCTGTCTGTTTTCTACCTACCATTTATGCTTCTTATTCCCTGTCCCTTCCTTCCCCTCTTCCCCTCCTACTCCCTTGCTGATAACCCTCCATGTGATCTCCATTTCTGTGATTCTGTTCCTGTTCTAGTTGTTGCTTAATTTGTTTTTGTTTTAGGTTCAGTTGTTAATAACTGAGTTTGTTGTCTTTTTACTGTTCATATTTTTGATCTCCTTTTTCTTAGATAAGTCCCTTTAACATTTCATATAATAAGGGCTGGGTGATGATAACTCCTTTAATTTGACCTTATCTGGGAAGCACTTTATCTGCCCTTCCATTCTAAATGATAGCTTTGCTGGATAGAGCAATCTTGGATGTGGGTCCTTGCCTTTCATGACTTGGAATACTTCTTTCCAGCCCCTTCTTGCCTACAAGGTTTCTCTTGAGAAATCAGCTGATAGTAGTATGGGAACTCCTTTGTATGTAACTGTTTCCTTTCCTCTTGTTGCTTTTAAGATTCTCTCCTTATCTTTAATCTTGGCTAATGTAATGATGATGTGCCTTGGTGTGTTCCTTCTTGGGTCCAACTTCTTTGGGACTCTCTGAGCTTCCTGGACTTCCTGGAAGTCTATTTCCTTCACCAGATTGGGGAAGTTCTCTTTTATTATTTGTTCAAATAAGTTTTCCCTCACAGCAGGGCATCTCCATAGTGTCCACAGACTTCCTGTTCTAAAGTTGTCCCACTTGTTACTTGCTCCATGCCTACCTTCTCTGTGGACTCTAAGTTCCAAGGGAACTTGGACAACGCCTCTTGTTTATCACCACATGTACAACACCTGGCATATGTTAGGAAAAAGATCAATAAATATTTCTTGACTATATATGGACTTTATAAGACCTGCAGCCCATCCTAAGTGCAGGGGTTGAAGAGACTAAGGGGTCAGCATGGGGCAGAGGAAGCAGACCCGTTCTGTGCAGGAGGCGAGGCCAGAGGGACAGGGTGAAGCAGAAGACAGCAGCAACCTGGGGCTGCCTGGGGTGCTGCAGGCCGAAGGACCCGGCTGTCTGAATGGTGTGCAGGTTTTAGTTTTAGTTTGTAGGGAAGTGAGGGAAATGTGAGCCTGAGGTACACAGTGGACTCCAAATGTTGTTCATTCTGCTTGGTAGATGCTGGGTCTAGCCCTAGTGGGAGCTTTAGATAATCTGGGTCATCTCACATTTGGCCCAAATTGTCATGAGACACTTGCCAGGAACCCCATGGAAACTAGTCTTTGGACCCAACACAAAACTTGACCTCTTTCAATGCTGCTCTTCTGCTGCCTAGTGTGTAGCCCAGGAGAAATCACTTGATCTTTCTTTAAAAAAAGTTATTGACTCATTTTAGAGAGCAGTGGGGTGGGGGGAGAGAGAGAGTGAGAGAGAGAAATGTCTTTGTCTTTTCAAGTAAGTGGAAAGATTTGTCTTTCCACTTATTTTTGCCCTCATTGGTTGGTTCTTTATGTGCCCTGACCCAGGATCAAACCCACAACCCTAGCCTATCAAAATGCGGCTCTAATGGACTGAGCTACCCGGACAGCACCCACTTCTTCTTACTGGATCCCAACGTCCTCATTTTTAAAATGGGGACAACAAAACTTGCACAACATTGTTGCTATGGGGATTAAAGCAGTTGATTATAGGCGAGAACCCCCACCCTAAGGCCTGGACACCAGCATTCAGCGACGGGTAGATGCAGGATGACTGAGCTAATGGACGAACATCATCTGAATTAAAGCTGGTGGAGCGGGCAGGGGGACGTCAAGCTGCCCACAAACCAAACCCTTGCTGAGGCGGAGCCTGTGAGCTGAAGGCACAGCTGCACTCCTGGGTCCGCACCCCAGCTCCGTGAGTGTGGGCTGGGCTGGGCTCAGCCCTCTGCTCAGTACTCAGAGCCAGAGGCAGGAGAAATTTTGGAGCCAGACAGAGTTAGAGACCCATGCTGACAGTGTCACTGATTGCCATCAGGTCACATTAGCTGCATGTCCTTGAGCAAATCATGCTGAGTCCCATCTTTTTTTATTTGTGAAGTAGGAAGACCATGACTATTTATAGGAATGCCGTGGGGACTAAATTATAATGTATATACAATATCAAAGGGACACGTGATGCCCCTGCTCCTCTGCCTAGGTTTTCATGAAAGATTTTGGCTGACCTTTAAAGCAAATGCCTTAAGCAAGAAAAACAAACAAACCAAGGCTACAGTTCCAAGACTGTGTGATTTAGACAAATGGGGGAGGGTGGGTACAGAAAGGAGGCTCTGGCTGTAGATAAAGAACACAACGAACACACATTAAGATAAGCAGCTCAAACTTGGCAGTGCCTGAGTCGGGGCAGTGGACAGGAGGTGATGAGGGATGGCTAGGGCGGGGCCGAGAAAAGGAGGGGCAGGGATGGAGCAGAGAGGGTCAACCACCAGAGACCCTGGCCAGGCCAGTGGGGTGCTGTGCTGCTCCTATCAGTCATAGGCCGAAATGGGAGGCCTCTGTGAAGCAGGGTTCTAAGGAACTTGGTTCTGAGCTTTGTGTGAGGCCAACCCTGTTAAAGGGGAAGGCACTTCCTGTGTGTGGGAATGGTACGAAAACACTGGCCATCCCTTTCCAGTTTGGAAGAGGCTTGCACAGTGGTCCTTCAGTGGCACAGAGGGTGGGGGTGGGAGGCAGCAATCCCTGCCCCCTGCTCGAGCGAGGGCTCTCCGCCCTGCTTCCCAGCCACTGCCCTCTTTGTCAGCAGTGCTCAAGGTTGGCAGGGCGGCCAGTGCCTTCTGGTTGCTTTGGGTTGGAGGGTTGTTCAAGAGCTGTGCCCCTCCCCTGCCCACAGGCAGCCTGGAATATCTGAGATGGCTGTGTGTTCACTTGCCCGGCTTGGTGGGAAGAGCACAGAAGCCTCTGGGAAGCGGCTTCCTTGAGGCCGGGATGTTAGTGCCTGGGGCCTTGGGGGGCCTCAGGCATTGGTCATCTGGTGCTGGACCTGCATGGCCTGGGGAGGAGTCCCCAGGGACCAACACGGGTGCTCACACAGGCTGACGAGACAGGAGCTGTGTCAGTCTTGGTCACCAGTGCACCTCAGTGAGGATACACAGCAGGCGCTCCATAAACACGGACTCCTCCCCTCCTGTGAACCTTCTCTCCTGTACCCAGTGAGCACACTGAGGCCAGGGCAGGAGCCGACACTTGAGTCCCAACCCTCTCCTCCCTGATGCTGTCCCAGGAGCACAGGCAGGCCTGGCTGCTGGGAGAGGAGGGGCCCTGAGGACACTCTGAAATCTGGCAGAGGCCACAGAGACCTTCACAAAAGGAGTGGGAATGGCAGGGAGTTTAAATCGAAGGCTGCAAACTGGCAGCCCTTGGCCCAAATCTCACAGGGCTTAACATTTAAAAAATTGGTCACGCATTTGAAAATAAGAATTCTTGTTCAGATCTGGCTTCTAGAGCCTCTTGACAAACGGACAGATATGGTAGCAAGTGGCCAGAGTTGGCCAGGTGAGGCTGCAACGTCTGGCTGCCCACACCCCCTCCGGGCCCTTCCCCTTGTTTGGATTTCCTATGGGGCCTGCAGGCCTTTGAGTTTGCCCCAGGAGACCGCTAGGAGAAGAGGTATCGCCTTGGTCGTCTGGCCTTGACCCAGCCACAGGTATGAACTGGGCCTCCAGGTCCCCTTACCTGCTGAGTCAGTGACTGCGGGGTCTGCCAGCCGCCCGTAGTGCGCCATGAGCTTGAGCTTGGTCTCCTGCTTCCTGTGTTTCTTGCCCACGTAGTGTTGCTGAGCCATGACAGGGTCATTGAAAGTCGCGTGGCAGAGGCTGCAGAACTTGTCTGGGTCTCTTACCTCTCTGCTCTGGTGCGAGGCTAAGGTGGAGGCCACGAGGAGAGGGTTCGTAAGGCGTTTCGATGGCGCTGCGGTGAGAGAGCCCAACAGAAGCAGTGAGAAGACAGAAGGTTCGGGATCTTGAGCAGCACAAAACGCAGACAAAGGCCCATCACTAGGTAACCACACCTGCACTCGTGGCTCAGCTGCTGGGGACCTCGGCGTGACAGCTGCAGAGATGGGGGCTGCTATTTGTTCAACTGCTGTAACTGCTTTGGGCACATGGGTCCTGCTTTCTCAGAGCCCAATGAAGCTCAGCACTTTTGCTATTCAGGCACTTTTGCTATTAAGTTGCCAAATGACAATAGACTAGAGAGTGCATGCTTGCGGTCTTGTTATCCTTCGGAATTCCCCAGGACTCCTCGCAGCACCCCAGGTAGAGAGCTGGGGGGGTGCCATGCAGATGGAGTAAATGAGCAACTACACTGGGAGGCCTTTCCGGCTACAGTGCCTTCTGGGCCGGGGGGTGAGGGGGGATGAGAACAGGGTGACAGTGACATTGTTACATGCTTTGTTCTCAGAACTGCTCCATTAGTTAGGCATTGTTTTGCTACATTACAGAGAACAGCTGAGGCTCATAGGTGAAATGACCTGCCCAGGATCACCGAGCCAGCAAGTAGAACCCAGGTCTCAGTGACCCTCAGGACCACGCCCTCTCTGTTCTGTCGGACTGCAGTGTGAGGCAAGGAGACCTGAAGGCGCAGTTTGGCTTTGGTCAGCACGCTTCGTTCACCAGAGCCTGGTATGGGCACGTGTGAGCCTCCCATGGGTCAGCAGGTGTCTTTCCCCATGCTGACCGTGGGGGTGCTGCTGCCTCATACAGTGGATGCCATGAACTCACTATTGAGGCCATGTGGCTGGAAGGGTATGGATCTAGTAACTACTGTTTTAAAAATGTGACCTAGAACCCTGACCTAGGGTGGCGGGGGAGTGGGCTCAGCAGCCCTCCCGGGTGGCCCATGTGTGCCTTCGTCCTGGCGCCACTTTGATGGGGGAAGTGAGGAGGGTCTTCAGCAAGCTGGGAAGAATTTGCTGGCTTCTCCTGCACTAATTTTCCAGTACAGAGAACCTCAAATTTTTCTGGTCATTGTCTCAGCAAATCACTCCAAAAGTAAATGAGCATGTTGCAGAATATTTAATAATGAGAAAAATATGCAGCATGTGGTGGTGAGTTACAAAGAAGAGGTTACACAGAAATCTGTTTCTTATGTCCTCAGTTCTGTAAAACCACCACGAAAAACAAGATGGTGATGATGTACGGGAAAAAGCCCAAAAGCACAGACAGAGTAAGAGGGTGCTTTTCGGTATTTCCCAACTTTTCTACAACGAATGCAGATTTCTGACGTCAGAAGAGGGAATGGTTGACGTGAAGGTCACTGTTCAACAGAGGCTGAGGAGCAGCACTGGGGTGAACCACTTGGGGGACAGCCAGTGGCCTTGTGCTGTGGGAGCCGCCTCTCAGCAAACAGCTTGAAGGGCAGGAACAGCGCTCCGTGGGGCTGTTTGCTACAGAGTCACTTATAAACACTGAAAAGGGGTGGGCGGAAACATTAGAGGAATGGTTAAATGTGGTACAGTGAAATACTTTACAGTCACTGAAAATGTTTTATGAGAAAGCTTCTAATAACGAGGAAAACACAAATGTATTAAAATGAAAAAGTATAAAAGAAAGTTAGACACACAATGGTGATTCTATCATTGTGAGAAGATATATACAGTTTTCATGCGTGTACTGGTATTTTAAAATGTCAACAAAATATTAACAGTATTTTTCTCCTAGTGGTAGGATCTGGGTAAAATTTTACTTTCCTCTTTGTTCTTTTGCATTGTTTGAACTAGAATTATTCATGATGAGTATGTATCGTTTTTAGAAAAACAGTAAGATTATTTAAAGTATTTATGTTTGCATGTACATATACATGGGTTTAATCAAGACACAGATAAAACAATGCACACATACATACACACACAGGCTTACAGAAGACAGTACTACAAAATGCTAACGGTGGTTATCTCTGAATGGTAAAATTATGGGTACTTTTTCTTTTCATTTATCGATATTTCCCATATTCTCTATAACATGCTTGTATTACTTTTATATTAAAAGTGTGTAATTCCAGAAATGTAGCTATAAACTCATGTAATACCAGGAAATGTGACTAAACTGCCAAATCAAAAGGAAAGCAGAATGCAGGCATGGTGGCCACACCTACGTAAACACACACACACACACACACACACACACACACAGCAGAGGCCAAAAGTGGGTGTGGGAATAACCTCGTGAGTATGAGTCTTTGGGACCAGGCACATTGCAGGGCATTTTCCCACTTATGGAAAGATGAGTCCATTTAAAGATAAGTGAGCGACTTTATCAAGTTCTGTTCTTCAGCTGGTTTCTTGGCCAAATGTTTAACCCTTTGGGTACCGTGAATGGCACCGGGGGCAAGGCCAAGGACAGGCTCCAGGCGGCGGATGCCCAACCAACTACCACACTGAATCAGGGGATTCCACTCACTGGCTACCTTCACGACGGTGATAATACTAACGACAGCAGCTGTCATTTCCCGGGCACATGCTATGTCCTAGGCTCCTCCTACATCTATCATTTCATCCTCAAAACCTATGAAGGGGAAAGCGTTATTGACATTTTATAGGCAAGGAAACCCAGGCATGAAGGAGTCAGGCCATACAGGTGGCAAATGGCAGCCCTGGGGTTTAAGCTTGGGTGTCTGGGGCTTCACAGTCCATGTTCTACTGTTTCGTACCATGAATGACTAGATTTGGGTATGATAAGAGGGTAAAATTATAAGTGGGTTTTTTAAATTATAAGTGTTTTTTTACTTTGTCTTCAAAGTCTTCCAAAACATTGTTGTCTTGTTTTCAAATACAGTAATATAAAAAAGGATAGTAAGTATTACAGGTAAGCATAGTCTATTTCTTGGTCCAAAAGGGATAGAAGCAAAAATGACAAAGAAAAAATAAAGGCAAAAGAACTTTGACTCCTGACTAGCTGCCGTTAGCAGAGGTGCAAAACCCCACAGAGTCAGGAGTTAATGAGAGGAAAGCGTGCCCCAGGGGTGGCAAGACAAAGGGCTGCTTCAGAGAGAAGCCACTTCGCTGGCAGTGAAAGGATGCCCAGCAGGTACACACACTGCTGAGGGGCGGTGGTGGCCGCACTGAAGTGTCCGGCTTTGAAAGGCAAGTCCCTGTCTTGAGGAGAAGAGGCCACTTTGAGGATTACAGTGAGCAGGGCATAACCTGAGCACACAAAAAAGACAAGGTTTCAGCTTTCAACTTGGAACACAGGATAACAAGGGCAGCCGGGTGCTGGCAGGGAGAACGTGGAGCGGGACAGGCAGGCGGTGGTGGGCCTGGAGGACTCCGGCTCTCCGTCATAGTATTAGTCAGAGCAAGGGCTCAGGGCTGACAGCTTCTGCAGAGAGACACTGACGGGACCAAAGGAACGCAGGTTAGGTGGGCAAAGCTCCAAGGCTGCATTCCAACGAAGCTATGTTTACTTTTATGTTTTTAAGGGCTCTCAAAAGCAGTTCAACCTCTCCCAGTCTGTGGCCCCAGTGGGCATTTCTGGAGCACCTTGGCCGTGGTGCCCTGAGAACGGGAGGGGTCCCAATATAGCACTACTCAGGAAAACCAGTACCTTCCACCTTAGTGGATTGCTGCTTCAGCTTTAAGTTCTTTGCGTGGGTCTTCCCCAGGTAGTGCGACTGGGCCACGACAGGGGAGGAAAAGGTCATGCTACAGGTGGGGCAGCACTGGTTCTTGTCTTTGCTTCTGCTGCTCTTCTGGTTGGGAGAAAGAACACAGGTCTGGTCACGTCACTGCCCGGCCAGAACACCTTCCATGGCTCCCCACTGCCCTTGGGAGAACGGGCACGCAAGGCCCCCTTTGCACACTGCCCCGCCCTACCTTTCTGAATTCTCCTCCAGCTAATTCATCCCAGGCTCTACTCACCAGTCCCCACTTGATGCTCTGAGGCTTTCTTGCTTTGTTTGGGCCATTCTTGTTTCCTAGAATGATCTTTCCTTCTGTCCTGCCTGGCAAATGTCTGCTTAGCTTTCAAGGCCCAGATTAGATATCACCTCTTCTAGGAGACTCTTAGTCAAGAAAATCATTCAGTAAACAATTATTAAGCCACTTTCTGAGGATTCCCAGTAGAATTTCGTTCCTCCTCTGAACTCCCAGAGTGCCTGAAACAGACCTCTCTAGCATGCCGCCTGCCGCCCTACACCGACAGCATCCGAGTTCGGGAGGCTTTCCCGTGAACTACAGTTCCATGTTTGGGAAGCCCCGCGTTCCTGTTTGGGTCGTCTGTTTCCTCTCCCAGCACCCCGCTGGAGCCCGGCACACAGCAGACCCCTGGGTTTTACTTGATATGATGGCTAGGAAACAAGAGTTTGAAACCTTGGCACTATCGACATTTGGGGCTGCACAGTTATGCTTTATTAGGAGGTGGGGAGGAGCCTGTCATCTTATTTGAACTACTGGGCGACCCGGGTCGAAGGAACCGAAGTACAAAGAGGCGAAGCGACCTGCCCAGGGTCACAGCGTTAATCCGACTCCATGGACTTGAAATTGTAAGGGGAAGGGCATCCAGGGGGTCAGTCTAGTGAACTGGGGAAGGGAAGAGCATAGACCTTCCCAACCCGTGGCCACTGTGATAGGAGGCACAGTTTATAAACTGTTGCATGACCACGGGGAATTAAAAATTTACCTCAGGACACCCTGAAGAGGCAGGCGTTACTATCCCCATTTTACGGGTGGAGTGCACAGAGGCTAAGTGATTCACCCAAAGTCGCCCACCCAGGAAGTTGCAGAGCCAGCACTAGGCCCCAGTCTGCTGACTTCTCATCCCAAAATGTCTGCATGGCCTCCCACGGGACAAGAGTCACAGTGCCCCTGAGGGATCAGGGTTGTGTCAGCATGATTCCCACACTGCAATATCTACGCCAGAAAGCAAATGTGCTCACACCTCTGTTGGAGCAGGCACCTGGGAAGCTGCTTCTTCCACTTGTTCATTCCAAATAGTCCTGGGGGGAACTCGGCTCTTTTCCTGTCTCCAGAAAGCAAGCAGCCTGGCTCCCTTCCACTTTGGGTCCTGGAGCAGTGAATGGCCAGGTTCTTGTCCCACTTCAGCAAACCACTGGTGGGTAATGCCCAGCAATGGCTCCATTTCCTGAGGTCCTACTGTGTGCCAGGCTCTGGGTTGGGTACTTTTTCCCTCCCTCATTTTAGTTTGGATAATCCTGAAACATAGCTGATGCTAGCATACTCATTTTTCCAGAGGAAGAAATAAGGCTCAGAGAAGTGACGAGACCTGCCCCAGTCCCGGCAGGGCTGGGACCAAGGCCAAGGCAGCCTGGCGGAAAGCCCGCGCTCTTTCACCGCGCCGCCCCGCCTGCTGGCTGTGCTGGAAGCGAGCGTCCAACATGGCAGCTGGATTACCTGATCTGAGTCTAGCTTCTTCGTCTCCCCCTTTAATGTCTCCATTCCATGGATTGCTAGGTATCTCTTCACTTTGTTGGCATGTTTTTTGCTCTGCAAGAACCCAGGAAAAAGATCAAAGATAGCCAAATGCCATTTCATATCTAAGGCATTCAAAAATACTAGATTTCCACCCGATTCACTCTCAAACATTTGGGCAGGAGAGGGTGTGGGAAGAAACCCAGCGTATTGAGTTCCTACTCTGTTCAAGGCACTGTGCATGCTGTCAAATGGAATTTTCACAACAGTCTATGGGAAAATCGTCATCGTCTCTATCTTATAGGCGAGGAAACAGAGGCTGAAGAGGGTGCAGTTTCTTGCCCAAGATGAGTAGCAGTGCTGAGTCAACCTCTGGTGTATTTAAAGCCAGAGTGCAGACTTTCTACTACATGAGCTACAAGGAAAGACACACGTGTAATGACCCTGATTTGGATGTGAGAAATGAGACTTAGAAAAATTAAGTCAGTCTTCAGTACAGTCAACATGGGTGGAGGCAACGCCTGCGTGGCTGGAGGAACTGCACCTCACGGCGCAGGCCCGGGAGAGGCGGGGGCTCCGAGCTGGGTCTGGCAGGCAGCACCAGCAGCGTACCTGGTAGTGAGCCAGCTTCTGGGACTCCGAAATGAGCAGGGCGCAGCACACCTTGCACTGGGTGCTGGTGAAGAGACACTGGTTCTTCTGGATCATGTGCTCCACTGCAGAGAGGCAAACAGAAAACTTCAGAGTCAAAAACTGGCTTTCACGCCTGAAGTCTGCCTCGAACGCAGGCGCGGAGCAATGCAATGCCGCGCAGGTCTACGCCTCGGCAGCCCCAGCCACTGTTCCCCTGCTGCACTCCCAACTCACCCTACGTTCTCACACCATCTACACGACTGCCTACTTTATAATGCCACATAAGCCAACTTTATTTACTAAATAAACTGTTTAAGAATTTTAACTGAGATATAATTGCATATAACATTATATTAGTTTCAGGTGTGCAATATGATGATTCAACATTTGTGTAATCATGAAACGGTCACCACAATAAGTCCAACACTAGGCACCACAGAGTTACAATTATTTCTTGTTATGAGAACTTTTGGGATCTAATCTCTTTAGTGACTTAAAAAAATGATTTTAGAGAAGAGAGGAAAGAAGAGGTGGGGGAGAGAGAGAGGGAGGAAGTGATTTGTTGTCCCACGTATTGATGCACTCAGTGGTTGTTTCTTGTATGTGCCCTGACCAGGGATTGAACCCGCAACCTTGGCTCTGACCAACAGAGCTATCTGGTCGGGGCAGCAACTGTCAAATATGCAATACAGAGTTCTTAACCATAGTTACCATGCTGTACAAATAAATTCTTTTAAAAAGGAATCTTCAGATTACAAACTTAAATACAATAGATCGGTGAAAATGAAACAATTCTAGCCAGATGCTGGCACCAGTGGCTTAGAGCGCCCCCTGAAAAGAGCCACAAGAACAGCAACTGGGAAGAGGTTTTTAAGCCAGGGTGCTCCCACCTGAGACTTTTTCCCTAATAGAACTGGAAGGACTGAAGGACTTGGAAGGGGAATAATTTCCTTGCTGTTCTTTTAAAATTTTTATTATAATAATACATTCTGGCCCTGGCTGGTGTGGCTCAGTGGATTGAGCCCCGGCTTGTGAACCAAAGGGTTGCCAGTTGGATTCTCAGAACAAATGCCTGGGTTGCAGGCCAGGTCCCCAGGAGGGGTTGTGCAAGAGGCAACCACACACTGATGTTTCTCTCCCTCCCTTCCCTTCTAAAATAAATAAATAAAATCTTTAAAAAAATAATAATACATTCTATATCTTTTTACTATTTGTGGGACATTTTCAGTGGAATTAAAAATAGAGCAACCCTTGTCCTGGCTGGGCAGCTCGGTTGGTTAGAGTGTTGCCCCGATATGCCAAGGTCGTGCATTTGATCCCTGGTCAGGGCACATATAAGAATCAACCAATGAATGTATAGGTAAGTGGAACAACAAATTGATGGCTGTCTCTCTCTTTCTAATATCAATAAACAAAAATTAAAAAAATAGATGAGTGGATGAAACAACTATTGGACATTTACACAATGGAATACTACTTGGTTGTAAAAAAAAGAAGAAACTTTTACCCTCTGCAACAGTATAGATAGACTTGGAGAATATTATGCTAGGTGAAATAAGCCAGTCAGAGAAAGACAAAAACCATATGACTTAACACATATGTGGAATTTAATGAACAGGCTGAACTAAGAAGGAAAATAGGGACAGGCTCATAAATGGAGAGCAGGATGACAGCTAGTGGTGTGGGGAGGTTAGGGGGTGGAAGAATTGAGCAGAAAGGAAAAGGGACTCATGGACATGGACAACAGTGTAGTGACTGATGGGGGGAGAGAGGTATAAAGGGGACTAAATGGTAATGGGAAAAATACAATAAAGATAAAAACAAAAAAAGAGCAACCTTCAAATATGCTCCACTAAAATAGTGTTTTTCTTTTTATGTTAAAAGATTTTTAAAAGATGATTTTAGAGAGAGAGAGGAAGGAAGAGAGACAGAGAAAGAAACACTGATTTGTTGTTCCACTTATTTATGCATTCACTGGTTGCTTCTTGTATGTGCCCTGACCAGAGACTGAACACACAACCTTGGCGTATTGGGATGATGCTCTAACCAACTGAGCTATCCAGCCAGGGCCAATAACATTTTCTTTTTATTTATTTATTTATTTACTTACTTATTTAGAGAGGGAGAGAAACATCAATGTGTGGCTGCCTGTCAAGCACCCATAACTGGGGACCTGGCCCACAACCCAGGCATGTGCCCTGACTAGGAATCAAACCAGCATCCACTGAGCCATACCAGCCACGGCACATTTTCTTATTACTTAAATTTACATTGGCATAGTAGTATACACAGAATTGGTTAGAAACTTATATTGGGGTTTAATTATTAAAAGACTAGAACATTCTTTTTATATGGAAAGAATGTGAGTTTCTGTTTATTATGGAGACATTAAAATTAAAAATTGTTTTTATTTTAAATAAATCATTCAGCAGATGTGAAAAGAAATTTTGGAGGATAAGTATCAGTTAGAAGATGGTGCTGATGAGGAAAGGTAAATTAGCCCTACCCTTACATAGTAAGCACAAACTATTATCTAATACCAGTTAAATGTTCATAGTGAAACCATGGTTAGGAACTAGGGCTCCCTGGGTATCCTGACCTGGGTTCAAATCCTGCTTCTTTTACTTACTAGCTCTGTGATTTTGCGGAAATCACTTAACCTCCATCCCATGGGTTTTTTTGTTTGTTTTTCTGGTATAAAATGGGAGGGCTGGTAACATGCATCTCAAGGAACGGTTTCTCCTACAGTCTTCCATATAAATCACTCAGCACATCGCCTCATCCAGTCTCTGCTCAATTTCAATGCTACTGTCAAATTATCTTCTGGGCCCCATGGTTCTGAGCAAATTAATTATTTCCTATACTGTACCTATGATATTTCTTAATCTAAAACTGAATAACTTAAAACTTTTCTCACTATTCTTTTTTGTTGAAGATTTTATTTACTTTTAGGGAGAAGGGAAGGTAGGGAGAAAGAGAGGGAGAGAAACATCACTATGTGAGAGAAACATCAATCAGTTGCCTCTCACATGCCCCCAGATATGGACCTGGCCTGCAACTCAGGCATGTGCCCTGACCTGGAATTGAACTGCTGACCTTTCAGTTTGTAGGACACCCAACCCACTAAGCCACACCAGTCAGGGCTTTTCTCACTATTCTCACTCTGACTTTGAAACATGTGAAATCACCTAACATATTACACAAGTTCCACTGCAGGAACCCATGGGACTACCTTGTACCTAATCCTTGGGTGTTGAGAACAAAGCCTGGCCTTTTGGGGAGGGAGTAAAACCTCGCCCAGGGCATGAGAACCACGGTGGCACTGATAGCGTGAGGCCGAGCTGAGTCCGTCCACTGAGGGGACTGCAAGTCTATGTTTTTTATTGTCTGCTCTGGACCAAAGAGTAGTCCAGATGCCCTAGAGGGAGGTTCTTGGTAGACAATTTTGATGTAACTCTTTTTATTTCACTGCTTTTGAGCAGAAGGACTATTGACTGGCTGTGTTTGGTCTCTTAGGGTCTCTTGTTTATTTCCCCATTTACCTCCTACAGTGCTTCAGAGAAATTCATAGCATTACAGGCCTACCTCAGGAATCAAGAAATATCTCAAATAAACAATCTAACCTTATACCTAAAGGAACTAGAAAAAGAACAAACAAAGCCCAAAGTGAATAGAAAAAAGGAAATAATAAAGATCAAGCAAAAATAAGTGAAAAAAATACAAGCTCTTTTTTTTTAGATTTTTTAGAATCTAAAAAAAAAATACAAAAGTGATGAAACCAAGAGCTGGTTCTTTGAAAAGATAAACAAGATTGCTACATCTTTAGCCAGACTCATGAAGAAAAAAACAGAGAGGACCCAAATAAGTGAAATAGAAATGAAAGAGAAGTAACAACTGTCCTAGTTGGAGTTGCTCGGTGGACTGAGTGCCTGCCTGCAAACGGAAAGGTAGTCTGCTCAATTCCCAGTCAGGGCACAGGCCTGGGTAGTGGGCCAGGTCCCCAGTTGGGGGTGAGCAAGAGGTAACCAATTGATGTTTCTCTTGCACACTGATGATTCTCTCCCTCTCTTTCTCCCTCCCTTCCCTCTCTCTAAAAATAAATAAATAGAAAAGTCTTTAAAAAAAAGAGAGTAACAACCGACACAGCACAATACAAAGGATTTTGAGAATACAAACATATATGCCAACAAAATGAACAATCTGGAAGAAATCAGTAAATGCCTAGAAACATACAATCTTCCAAAACTAAATCAAGAAGAGAAAATCTGAACAGACCAATTACATTTTACAAAATTGAAGCAATAATAATAATAAAACCCTCAAGAAACAAAAGTCCTGAACCAGATGGCTTCACAAGTGATTTTTACCAAACACTCAAAGAAAAAAATTACATCTGTCCTTCTCGAATTATTTCAAAAGAGTCCAGAGAAGGGAAGACTCCCTAGCTCATTTTACAAAATCAGCATGATCCTAATTCCAAAACCAGTTATTCAAAAGAAGAAAAATTTAGGCCAATATTCCTGATGAACATAAATGCAGAAATCCTCAACCAAGTATTAGCAAACTCAATTCAGCAACACATTAAAATGACCACACACCATAATAAAACGGGATTTATTCCTTGCATACAAAGTTGGTATAATATATACAAATTGATTAATGTGGTACCCCATATAAACAAATAAAGGTTAAAAAAACCATACAATCATCAATAGATGCAGAAAAAGCATTTGACAAAATCGAGCACCCATTTATGACAAAAACTCTCAGCAAAGTGGGACTAGAGAGGGTACAGACCCCAACATAATGAAGTTCATATATGACAAACACACAGCTAATACTACACTCAACAAGGAAAAACTAAAAGCATTTCCCTAAAACGAGGAAGAAGGCAGGATGTCCGCTTTCACCACTCTTCTTCAACACAGTGCTGGAAGGTCTAGCCACAGCAACCAGATAGAAAGAAAGAAAAGGCATAAATTGGAAAGGAAAAAGTAAAACTGTCATAATTTGCAGATGACATAATACTACATATAAAGAACACTAAAGATTCCACTAAAAACTACTAAATTGATAAATGCGT